GACGGCGACCCACAGCAGATGGATTAGCATCCATACCAGGTTTTGGCCGAAATGAAGGGTTTGCTGCTTCGGTATGGAGCCAAAGGCTCGTCGCATCGTCCTGACGGCCATTTTGTTGAGGATGAGCGTTGGAACTCGCAGTTTCTGTTTCTCTTGGTGTGGGCTGCTTCTTGTGCATATTTGACCCCTCCTTCGGAATGCAAGTGTAACCACGTCACCGTGCATTGTTACAACTACTTCATGTACCTGCCATGCTATCGTCTTCTTGATTATGATATACCAATCTTGTCTCCGTTCATTGATCTTGTTTATTCTAAAATCAAATCTCTTTGCATGATTGTTACGACTGAATCAAGTCTTTATGTTACACCAACAGTCCTTCTTGTTTCGTGTACTGTTTCCCTTGGTCCAAGTCAGCCATCGATTACCAGGTGGCATCAGTTGTATAAGTACACATGTCAGGCTAAGGACTCTCAAAGCCATTTCCAAGCTCAATTTTTAAGATTGACTTCCATATCTATGGATGAATGAGGCACAACATATGCGCTATCAAATGGTAGATGCCTAGGCCACTGTCCCAGTTGTCAATGGCTCAAGTGGGCAGTTGATACTCTGAGGATAATGAAGCTGCAACTTCGAAACATGTGAAACAGGGAGTACAGAGTAGCTCTAGATGATAAGAGACAGGCCACAGTTGTGCGTGGCTTTTAGATCAGAGACCGAGACCTTTCCACGCTGCGAGGTGCTGCCCTAAGAGTTAAAGCTAACTATAGTACTCAGTCTGTCTTAGTTTGCCTATTACTCTACTCTATACATTCATCAAACTACCCATTTAAGTACACCATGACTATAAGGAAATGATAAAAGGACAATTCTCCTCCTTATCCAGTCTTCTCCCCACGATGCTTTTATTGAATGGATTGTTTGGAACTTCCACAGGTCCCTTGCATTGCATATACAGATATAGGTCTTTAGCAATGTCACACAGGAAACCAAGGAAGTCAGATAAAGTTGACTGGAGATCTGGAATAGCTTTGTTTACTAATCTAATCCTAATGTTAAAATCAACTACGTCGACTCTAGAGGGAGAGCCCTCTATAGGGTGAAATAAAATTTCGTCTAATGTGTTCCAGTTGTTTTGAATATTACTTGTAGTAACTGGTATGCAGACATGCTAGATTTATAAAGATCACACGACTAGGCGCTTTATCTTGGTGACCATTAGAGGATCATAAAGGAATCAAAAATCCTCAGGATTGAGCAGTGGTAGAAGTTCAGAGACTCTCAAGCTGGTTCCCCACTATTCTCTACCCCTCTGCTGCATTATCAAAAGGCTAGTTTCTATTTTTTAATGTAGTAAATGTTTTTTAGAGACCAATTGAAGATTAGAAGCATATGGACCTGATCGGTGAGAGAAATCGTAAAAGAATCAACGCTGCTAGGTAACGTACTTGATGCTTTGTAGAGAGAATATGCATGTAATTGCGTTTGGCAAAAAGCAAAGAAGCTTTGAAGAATTCATGCTGCTAGGCACTTAACAGGTGTCCAGACGCCCGCTGCTCCTTTCCTAGCTAAGTGCATTTCATTTCACAGACTTCTCTCGTCACCTTTTCCTCGGAGACAAAAGACATCGCTTTCGGCAAGTATATAGTGAGTCAGTCCAAGGAGGAATGCTGTGTAGAAGACCACTACTTTCTACCTATAACTCCACGAACACTTTCAAGACGATATATCATCACTACTTCTTTGATCGCATCTTGATTTTCGCATATTTCATTTTTCTTATACTATCCATTACGTATGGGATACACGTGCCTTGAGGGGTAGAAGGAACTTATGATTGCCTCCAGGTCCTAAACCCCTGTCATTGATTGGAAACGTCCATCAGCATTCGTCAAGTGTGCCTCCGTGGGAGCAGTACCGCCAATTGCATGAGATCTATGGGCCTATCATCAACCTGAAAATAGGACAGCGAAGCAGTGATTGCTTTAGGGACTCAACCAGTTATTCGAGATCGACTGGAAAAGAAAGCTGGCATTTATACTTCTCGCCCCTGCATTGTCAGTATCGCTGAGACGTTTTTCAAGGGCATGATACCAGCGTTCATGCCGGATTGGGATACATGGGACAAAACCCACTGTTTTGAGCAGTCTATTCTTAGCAATCCACGCTCTTCCTACCCTCCTCTGGACCTGGGAAGCAAACAAGATGCGTGATGGAAGCTGAACACCTGACTACTTCTCCCAGTTTGTTGAAGGTTATCTCACGCTATTGGCCTATGGAACGAGGGTATATGAGCATGATGAGAAGATGAGACAGGACTTTCTGGGTTTCCATATCTTGTCGCTGAACCTTATCCAACCCTGGAGCCGGTATTTATATTTTTTACCACTTTCAACGAAAGAAATTGCGGACCGTTTATATAAGGGGATCCAACGCTCCTTTTACGACAAGATGTTATTAGGGCTTTAAAGTGGGCCTTGGAATTGGACACAGTGCATGCAGAAAAGCCCCCTTGGAAATTGCTCCGATAACGGGAGGGCCTTTATCTTCGCCGAGATGGAGTTTGCTGCTACGACCACCTTTTCAGTCATGATGATGCACATATTGAAATTTGCTTGAGGTATCCAGATGAGATGAAGAAGGTACAAAGCGAGCTTGACAGCGTTGTAGAAGTACGGAGACTCCCATGTTTGAAGATCATGAAAGCTTGCCGTTCACAATGGCCTTCCACTCAGAGCTCATCCGAGTCGCCGGCATGCTACCCTTTGCTGCCCCTCACGCCACGTCGAAAGAGGACTTTTAAGATGTAGTCATCTTTCCAACCAATGGGCTGTCAATATGGACCCAGGCATCTACAAAGACCCGAAATCTTTCAGGCTAGAGCGTTGGATTGAATCCCCGCGTCTGCCCCGTCGGCCGTCCTGCCCTCTTAGGTTTCGGAAAACGAGCCTGCCCTGGACAAGTACTCGGACTGAACTCATTGTCCATAGGAGTTACCCATGTGCTATGGGCCTTCCAGCCCAAGCAGGGAGGAGATGATATTCCTTGGGAAGGGCTGTTGACTATGGCCTTTTGGGAAGCTAGTTTTGTGCAACCGCCAAAGCTTGCGAATGTCACAGTGAATGTCCGCAGTGAGCAACACAGGCAGACTATTGAGGAACAATGTTCAGAATACTGGCAACCAAGGACAGCGTTCTGGAGAAAGTTAAGCAGGCTTTCTCTTGGGTCTTCGATGGTGATCTAGCCGGATCAAACGTGCTCTCTGTGTTTTTCTTGGCTTTCGTTTGTCGTTATTTGGTCGAGGTCCGATGGACCTATTTCTTTCAGTTTTCACTAAGCAACGTCTTCCATGTGACTATCCTGCATCAAGCAGTCTCGCCAGTGGTATTATCCATTAGCTCAATTGGTACCTTAGGAAGCAAGATATCTGTCCATGGACTGTTACGTAGGCTGCACTACAGGAACTATCTTCCATGAAATGTCTAAAATCAGACTGGCAATCTATTGCATTATCTTGCAATTGCTTCAATTCGCCCTTTTTTCTTGCCTGTGGTTAATCCACATTTGGTAGCTGACATATTTACTCATCCACGAGCTTAACAGCTGAGCGAGCACATGACTTGTCTGTCACCAGAGGAGGTACAAGACGGCGTGAAGCGTCGTGAAGCGTCCAGACGGACGGCATTCTCGACGATGCTCACTAGTAACGCATGGACAGTGACAGATTCATTCAGGAGGTCACGTTTCATATCATTCAATGTTGTCGCGCTCCAAGGATATTGGGTATGTGCTTCCTGCCACTACACAGCAGAAGTATACAATTAATGATGCATGTTTTACCAGCCTTGCCGGTTTCGAAGCGATGTTGACACTGAAGAGACGCCGTCCTCCGTACAGTTGCCGTGCAAGTTCAAGGTGGTGATAACCTTCAAGATGTGAAGAGGAAGCCTGATGTACTGTCTGGATACATGGACGCACCGGCAAAGTGAGCCCTGAGGTATTTCATCGCCCAGCGGACTTTCTCGCATCCCGGCATATAACAATTGCTTTCTAGACATGGAGAAAACACCTAGATGCTTGCACCATGACATACTTGGAAAGGCAGCCAGGTACCCCTGGAGACGATCCCGTGGAACTTGCCCGCTCCTTTTCCAGCATTGCCTACGGGCATTCCGCTATTAACACCTTTATTTTCAAGCCTCTTGGGGTTGACCCTCGCCAAGAGAACAAACACAACTAAGGTTGTTTTTGGAAAAATTGAGATGGTAGCTCACTAGACTTACCTGTTGTTGAGACTGTCACAGGGATCTGCAACAACACTTTCAAATACGCGTCAGCCCTGAAAAATCTCATGTTAGGTAGAATTTCTGAACATGGGAAGTTGACAAACTTTACTCTGTGCTCTAGAGTTAGATTGGTTCATGCATTATTAAGAGGCTACAGACCGCTGTTGAAGTTCTCGACCCCGGGAGATTCCAAAGACCCTGGACAGCCCGACAAAGCAGGGTCTAACTACCTAAACTCCGGACACCAATGTCCGATTGGTCGAGTATCAAGGCTGTAAAATATGTTTCATGCAATACTACCTTGGTGTCTGCATATGTTGAGTCAACGCCCGATAGTTCTGACTGTATGGTCGGGTTTCATTTCCGTTTGAGGTAGTTTGAGACGAAGTATAGAGATTAGCGATAAGTCCGCGCATCTGATAACGAGTAACGACCAGCATCACTAAGATTGATGTAGCCTACACTGTCTGCATGATTGATAGGGGATATTGATAATTTAGGCTCCCACTTCATGTCGTGACGTAGTAGGTTTTGTCGAATTGCTCGGAGTTAACGGCTCTATCGGTTCTGGTAGAAGCCCGAGGCCCCGGTAAACGCGAAGGTTGTCGAGTGAAGTGCTCGAATAAAAGGCAGCTTGTTTACCCGTTTGCTTTACTATCTTCAATATCACTTCGTCCTTCACATACAACCCTATCTTGCAGTTACATCATAATGGCAGAGCAAAGTCAGCGTCACCCTCGTCCTGGAGAGGTAAGCTATTCATTCGCTACATCTATTGTGCTACGATGTCCGTCTAACGCTAGTCCATGTACAGCACGAGAGCGGAAAAGAGCTCAAGCTGCTGCATTTCATCTACGAACAGCCCGACATTGATCAGATCAGAGGCAACCCGCAACGGGTTCTGGATCTCATCCACAAGTTCGAAGAGAAATATCGTTTCATGAATGTGGGAGCCGCCAAAGGCAAGATCGTCACCGATCTCATTGCTGAACTCAAGCCACATACAATGATCGAATTAGGCGGCTACGTAGGCTACTCAGCCATACTGTTCGGCGATGCCGTCCGCCGAGCTGGCGGCAAGCGCTATTTCAGTCTGGAACTGAATCCGGAATATGCCGCCATCGCCAACATGCTGATCGAGCTGGCCGGTCTGCGGGACTTTGTCCGCATTATCGTCGGTCGAAGCGACAAGTCGCTGCACAAGCTGTGCACCAGCGGCGAGGTCAAGCAGATCGAGCTCATGTTCCTCGATCACTACAAGCCCGCGTACACCACAGATCTGATGCTTTGCGAACAGCTCGGCATGATTGTTCCCAATGTCTCGGTTCTGGCCGCGGATAATGTCTTGCGGCCCGGTAACCCACCGTATCTGGAGTATGTCCGCAGTACGGTGGAGCAGAAGCGTGAGGCCGCCAAGAAGGGACCGATCAAGAGCTATAACAAAGAAGGCATCCCGCAGCGGACGGTCCAGTCTTTCCTGGGCGAGGATGATAAGCCCGGTTTTGAGGTGCTCGGGGACCCGAATTTAGTGTACAAAAGCACGCTACATCAGCCTGAGGGGTTGCAAGTGCGTTGACTCATTCCATGGACCATTACACATTGCATTCGGCTGACATTTCCTATTCTAGGACGCGATTGAAGTGAGTCGGTGTGTTGGGATTGAGGAATAGGGTACGCCATCGATTCATGATTGGAAATCAATTCTGCGATTTGTAATCACAAGAGGCATCACAGTCATAGCAATATTCAATTACGCGACTCTAATCTCCGAGAATACTTAGAATGGGATGGAAAACCTCAACATCGGCCGGCGGACAGAAATCCGAGACGGGACAGAGTCGGCTTCTGGATGGAGCCCCACCCGCCCGATCCAGAGGTTGCGGTAGTTGCCCCTCGCGAGGACCTTCCCCCGCACCCACTCCTTTTCTATGACGACTCTGGAAGAGAATCTCGACAGCTTGCCAAAGTGGCACGCAGAGTTTATTTTGTGTATATAAGGCTTAAGACGAGAATCACTCTCCTGGCTTTCTCAACTGAATCTACAAGCTTTGTTCTGTTGGTTCCTTCCTCACTCTCAACGTCTAGACTGTCATCATGGCCTCCAAAACCTGGAACGTCGGTATCGTAGGCTATGGCTTCAGCGCCAAAATCTTCCACATTCCCTTCGTCGCAGAAGTCCCTCAATTCAAACTCTATGCTATTGTGCAGCGCACACCCAAGCCCGAGGACGATGCCGAGAAAGACCACCCTGGAGTCAAGTCTTATCGCACCGCTGAGGACATGATCAAGGATGCTGCGGTCGACGTTGTGATCATCACCACTGCCCCAGACTCGCATTATGCTTTGGCGAAGCTGGCTCTGGAGAACGGCAAACACGGTGAGTTTGGTCCTTTCCTCGACTATCTTGATGGCGCATTCGCTGATCTATGGCCAATTTCAATCTAGTTGTTTGCGAAAAGCCCTTCACACCCACCTCGGAGGAGGCCAATGACCTCGTTACCCTTGCGCAGCAGCAGAACAGGCTGTTGGCCGTATACCAGAGTACGTTAGACAAACCGAATTCGGTCGAAAGATCACTTCCAGGAACTGACTTCGAGGTTGACAGACCGCCGATTCGATGCCGACTTTGTCACATTAACCAAGCTGGTGAAGAACGGCTCGCTTGGCCGAGTTGTCGAATTCGAGACTCACTTTGACCGTCATCGGCCCGAGGAGCCCGCCGCCGATGTTTCGAAATGGAAGAACAAGGTCATCCCGGGTGGCAGCGCCATCTACGATCTCGGAAGCCATCTACTCGATCAGGCTGTTCAGCTGATGGGAATGCCGGATCGGATCACAGGCTTCGTTGGCTCCCAGAGGGCTGTGAACACGACCGGTTTTGAGGACTCGTTCACTGTTCTGTTGCACTATAACAATGGACTTCTTGTAACCGCCAAGGCGGGTGTTGTGAGCCCTGAGGAGAAGCAGTTGCGGTACTGGGTTCGAGGTGAGAAGGGTAGCTTCAAGAAGGTGAGAAATCTGATCACCCTTACGCGGCCCAACGCTGACATGGTTTCCATAGTTCCACCTCGACATTCAGGAGGACCAGCTCAAGGCCGGAATGAGACCCGGAGACAACGGATACGCCCGGGAACCTAGTGATAGATACGGTAGGTCGCATCCGCATTGCAAGGTTCGGGAGTCATATGGCTAACGATGCTTTGTACAGGAACCCTGACCACCATCCAAGACGGCAAGCCTGTCGCCGAGATCTTCCCAACAGTGGAACCACCTACGTACACCGAATATTATCGGAAGCTTGCCCGTGCTCTTGCCGGAGAAGGCGATCTCCCGGCCAGTGGTGCTGAGGCCGCCAAAGTCATCAGATTGATTGAGCTGGCGAAGGAAAGCTCGAAGCTTGGCAAGACAATTGACGTTTGAATTCAAGCAAAATGTACGATTTAGGCCGCGGCGTGTATTGATCTCGAAAATAGATAGCACTGATGACTCTCTGAAATCCTACGCCCTGAGCTTATTACCAAGATTGTATGCCCAGTAAACCTCGGGGTGGCCGCTGTCAGCTGGTCAGCAACTGCCGGAGTAACGGAGAACTGCAGAGATGGTTGTTTGCAGCATAAAAGTACGTAATTTTACGCTAGACTGACAATACAGATCAGCCATTGCATGACCTCATCTATTCCGCATATAGCAGCTAAACCCAAATAGTAATTTCCATTACCAAATGCAAATCCTCTGAATGGAAGAACCAGGACAATTGCAACATCAAAGCAGAACCCAAGGAAACAGAGCGTTTGCTGTACAGGGACAATACATGGATGACTCTCTTCCAAAACCCATACATATTGTCACTGTCCGCGGAGATGCGGGCGTTGCTATGCTTGCCGGAAAAAAAAAGAGAGATCAAACTGTCTTGGAAATCACTTATATAGGTACAGGCATGGTGATGGCAGTCAGAAATCTCACTCCAGAACGGATAATGATGTGCTGCTGGTCGCTGGACGGCTTACTTGAATGTTGATCCCCTCTCTTCTCCTCACCAGTATTGGGGTCTCCTCATTTCAGGTCAGTTCTCCTCTCTCCCTGTCTCCAATTTGCAGCACATATATACTTCCCTTGTAGCCAATTTGCCTATGTAGCTTTTTTTTTTTTTTTGCTCGGCTTGACCATGTTTATCCTTTTCCTTTCTGGTGAACAGCACTTGTCGAGGAACGTATCACAGATCTTAATGTTGCCCTAGTCTACCCACTTTAACGTACTTGTTATCCTTGTGATATTTTCGTGGACTTACGAGGCTCATAGTTTTGTTATGTCCTCTGACTTGGCAGAGCCTCATCGGTGACACAGCTTCAATCATGGTGCACCAACCTCAGCACGTACCACCTCCCTCGAAAGGCTTTGACCTCTCTCGCTGGCACTTCGATGTAGATGCCTATTTAAACCCGTATCTGCCCGCTCCACCATGGCGCCGGCTGCCTCGTCCTGTCTCTCATTTCTTCGGATATAGAGGGGATCAACCGCCTAAGGCTGTTGGCAACCTGGTGATTGCCTTTTGGGCCCTCATCGGAGCATTCTGTGGTGTTCTCGTTATTGCCGAGGTCTCTTTGCAAGTCCCGTCGTTCCAGGCACATCATGCACCCATTATCGTTGCTAGTTTTGTGAGTTACCTAACCCTAGAAATTCCAGGCTCTTGCTGTTGCAACAATACTGAGACTTGACAGGGCGCCACGGCGGTGCTGGAATTCTCTGCCATCGATTCCCCATTCGCTCAACCTCGAAATATGATCGTGGGTCAGCTGGCAGCGAGCGTCATTGGTGTAGCGATTGGGAAGCTCTTTGCCTTGAATCCCCATGCCCATGCGTTACCCCAAGTCGGAGGAGCTCTTGCTTGTGCTATCACTGTCGCCTTCATGGCTATCACAAATACCACGCATCCCCCTGCCGGCGCCACCGCTCTATTAGCCGTCACCGAGGCCTTTGAACTGGGCTGGTACCTGGTTCCGGTGGTGCTGCTGGGGTGTGCGCTGATTCTCTGTGTGGCATTATTGATCAACAACATTCAACGGCGGTTCCCCGTCTACTGGTGGACTCCGCATAGCCTTGCACGTCCGAAACTCGAGGATGCTGAAAGCATCAGGCGTGAGAAAGTACCCAGTGTCAAACCCACTGAATCTGAGGACAGCGTCACGGATGCACCTGAGCAAATAATCATTCGGCGTGGCGAAGTATTGATGCCTGACAACCTCTGGATCAGTGCAGAAGAAAGGGAGGTGTTGGAGAGGGTCAGTCAACGAATACAATAGATCTGCTTGTCTATAGCTTTTGCATATAGAGCAGCGCTAGAGAGTCATAATGAAAGGTCACTCTAGATTCACAGACATCGCTCAACTGGATAGAGCTCAAGGCTGTCAATGCCTTAGGCTTAAGGCTATAGTCACGTGAATAAAGCTGCCCAATCAGGTATGGCGGCGCCACGTACTGTGCAGTGACGTCGCTTGACCAATCAGGACCCGCCCCACTGAACGAATTTTTGAAGGACGGCCACAAGGCATCAAAAGACTTCTCTATCCCTTCCAACATCTTCTTGGGCGTTGGTCACCATAGTTTGTTTGCCATCAGGCCTCTCGTTCATTGAGACTAGCTTCTCAGTACTATATAACATTCTACTTGTCCTCGAATCTAACCCAGTTCGATCTTCGAGTCCCACTACCGAGTAACGGCTGAGGATTCGCCTCCCCGAAGATTTATCGATAAGGGTTTTCAATAGAAGGTCAAAGATACATTCTTAGATTTCGAAAACACCCCACCTGAAAGGCTTTGGTCGCCCCTCTCTACCTATTTTCTCCTTCCTCCCCGCTATCGATCCACTTTCGTCGAGCCTTTTTTTCATCTGCGTTCACGACCCTAGGCAGACTTTTGAGCTTTTACCTGTCCTCTCTCTTTACCTCCCACCCCTATCACCTCCCCCCCCATACATACCGCCAAAATGGTGTCTGCTTCCAAAGCCGCTCGTCTCGCCAAGCGTGCCGCCGAGGGCGATAAGAAGAAGACCACCAAGTCGAAGAAGGACGTCAAGGGTGACGAGAGCCCTTTGGTTGACGCCGATGGCGAGCCTCTCCCTACCGAAGATCAGCCCGCTACCACCGAGGAGAAGATGAAGGAAGTCGAGAAGCTCACCGCACAGATGGATAAGCACGGTCTGTCCGACCGTGTCACCACCGGTGTTCTGTCCTCGATGGCTTCCTCTCGCGACGTCAAGATCACCTCCGCTTCCCTCGTCTTTCACGGCAAGGTCCTCATCACCGACTCCACCCTTGAACTCAACTTCGGTCGTCGTTATGGTCTGCTCGGTGAGAACGGATGTGGAAAGTCCACTCTGCTCAAGGCTATCGCCACTCGCGAGTACCCCATCCCCGAGCACATCGATATCTACCTTCTGAATGAGGGTGCTCCTCCCAGCGACCTTGGTGCTTTGGAATGGGTCGTTACTGAGGCGCAGAACCAACTGGACCGCATGGAGAAGCAGGCTGAGGAGATTCTGGAAAAGGATGGTCCCGAGAGCCCTATCCTGGAAGATCTGTACGACGTAAGTTATTTTGACTTCCCCTAACATGCCAATATCGTGTACTAACATGGACCAGCGTATGGACAAAATGGATCCTTCGACCTTCCACACTCGTGCCTCCCTGATTTTGACCGGTCTGGGCTTCAACAAGCAGACCATCCACAAGAAGACCAAGGACATGTCCGGTGGTTGGCGTATGCGTGTGGCCCTTGCCAAGGCCCTGTTCGTCAAGCCTTCTCTTCTGTTGCTGGACGACCCCACCGCTCACTTGGATCTCGAGGCCTGTGTGTGGCTGGAAGAGTACCTGAAGAAGTGGGAGCGCACTTTGGTGCTTGTTTCTCACTCTCAGGATTTCTTGAACGGTGTCTGCACCAACATGATCGACATGCGCATGAAGCAGCTCCTCTACTACGGTGGTAACTACGATTCGTACCACAAGACTCGCAGCGAACAGGAGACCAACCAGATGAAGGCCTACCACAAGCAGCAGGAGGAAATCGCCCACATCAAGAAGTTCATTGCTTCCGCCGGTACCTACGCCAACTTGGTCAGACAGGCCAAGTCTCGTCAGAAGATTCTGGACAAGATGGAGGCTGAAGGCTTCATTCAACCCGTTATCCCTGACAGAGTCTTCTCCTTCCGTTTTGCTGATGTCGAGAAGCTTCCTCCTCCCGTCCTGTCCTTCGATGATGTTTCGTTCTCTTACTCTGGCAACTGGGACGACACTCTGTACGAGCACCTTGACCTTGGTGTTGACATGGACTCGCGAACTGCACTGGTCGGCCCCAATGGTGTCGGCAAGTCTACTCTCCTCCGCCTCATGACCGGAAAGCTCCAGCCCATTGCCGGTCGTGTCAGCCGTCACACTCACTTGAAGCTCGGCATGTACAGTCAGCACTCTGCTGAACAGCTCGACTTGACCAAGTCCGCACTCGACTTCGTTCGCGACAAGTTCCCCGAGAAGAGTCAGGACTACCAGTACTGGCGTCAGCAGCTCGGTCGCTATGGTCTGAGCGGTGAATCCCAGACTGCCCTCATGGGTACTCTGTCCGAAGGTCAGAAGAGTCGTATCGTCTTCGCTCTGCTGGCCATCGAAAGCCCGAACATGATTCTGCTGGACGAACCTACCAACGGTCTCGATATCCCCACCATCGACAGTTTGGCGGATGCCATCAACGCCTTCAGCGGTGGTGTCGTCGTCGTGTCCCACGACTTCCGTCTCCTCGACAAGATCGCCAAGGACATCATGGTGTGCGAGAACAAGACCATCCGCCGCTGGGACGGCACTATTGGCGAGTACAAGGACCACCTGCGCAGGAAGATGGTCTCCGAGGGTGCTGTTTAAAGCACATTTCCCGCGTCTCTGCATTTTTGTTACGAATTGGAACGTTGACGTTTAGAGATGACACATAAAAAGTGCGGCAGGGAAGGAAAAAGAAAAGTTTTTTTTTTTTTTTCTTCCAGGAGTGATGACGTATCCTGGAGCCAGTGATATAGTGGCTGACTTGCGGTTTTTCTTTACATATTTCTTTGTTGGAGATATTCTTCTGCTTTCCTTTTCTCTCATTGTTTTGGTGCGCCGTTTAGATGGTCCGTTTTCATACCTCTCATCCTCCTACTAGAGCTGAGCTGAGCCGAGCCGAGCGTGATGGCTGAATTCCATGTTCCTTTACCTCTTTCATGAGCACCCATGATACCTGTTATAGACACTTCATATAGTCTTGTTAAATTCAGCCGGTCATCTTTGTAACTCGGGCCGGTGATGACTATAATATCTATCCATTGCACATCACATGACTCACCTGATAGTCTTGATTCTATGCATGTCCTGATGTAGTGTACAGAGTGAGGTTTACTGAACTCGATTCATCCCCCCTTGTAGATTAGACCAATGGTAATAAAGTACAATGGCAGATTAGGTTGCGGTTGTTGTTCCATTACCGAAATCTATTCGAAGAAAGAAGTACATCTCAGTTTCTGACCGCAAGCCTTTACGACGGATGCTGCTGCTCGCCAACCTGGCCCTCCTTGACCCGTTGCGCCACCAGCTCCCCGCCAAAGATATCCCTCGCCTCCCGATCCCTCTGCGCCCGCTCCAGCTTCCGCTTCTTCGCCTGCCTCTCGACTTCACTTTCCGATGTGGCGCCTTCGCCTGCCGACGCGGCGGCAGCGGCAGAAGCAGCAGCAGGGATCCGCTTCTGTCCGGCCAGGGAGATCTTCTCCGGGTTCTGGCAGTAGTAGAACTTCTTCCCGATGCGTTTGAGGTTCTTCATTTGCTCGGGGTCGGAGTTGAGGGGCTTGTATGATTGCAGGAGGGCAGCGCACTGGTTGAGTGTGCGGAGGAGTTTCACGCGGAGCTCGTAGAGCGGGTTCCCTGCTTGTGCGTTGGCGCTCTCAGCGGCTGGCCCGCCGAGTTTCGTGTCGAGGTAGTATTCGGCCAGGGGGCGATCGGCGAGCATGAAGGCTGCCAGCCAGATCTGTGAGGGTGTGTAGAGGAAGTAGGCGTCGGTCATTTGGGCGGCGGTTTTGAGGAGTTCGCGGGTGGTGGTGTGTGCGCGGGCGATGCGGTCTGTGATTGAGGAGGACTGGGGAGCGTTTGGTGCGGGCGGGACGGCGAGGAGTCCGCGGCGTAGGTCTTCTGATGTCTGGTGAGGGAGGTGAGGTGCGGGTTGGCCCAGGCCTTCGGCCATGGCTTGGAGTTCCATGACGCCGCCTTCGAGGCCGCGGAAGGGGTGGCGGACGTCGAAGGTGAAGCGGAGGCTTTGCATGATGAGGAACTCGGGGGCGATGATGTCTTCTGCCGTTGTGTCGCCTGGGACCTTTTCGGCGAACTGGCGCAAGGACATGTAGAAATTGTCCGTCTTGGTTGCAAGGAAGAGAGCGCAGGGCATGATTGTCTTGGGAGAGTAGGTCATTGGCGAGTTGCTGAGGTAGAATCGACGGATGTACTGAATCGCAGTGGCCTGTTAGAGAGACGTGCGACGTTAGTTATCTGTTCATTCGCGGTTATGCGCTTCAACATCAGACGAGATACGCACCCGCACTGTTGTCGGCAAGGGTGGCTTATATGTGTCCGCCAGCTCCACGGCCTTTTCACAATAAAACCTCACTAACTCCTTCTCTTCTTCTGGTGTCAAACAGTCAATGTCCTTCTCGTCCGCTCCCTTGCCATCTGCAGTAGTCCCTGCTGTAGGAGTCCCCGCAGCCGACGAGTTGGCTGACTGTCGCGCCTCCCGTGCTCTCCGCAGAGCCGCTCGGACTCGTTGGCTAGCGACAGCATTTGTGTTCTCCCTTAATGATCGTAAGGAGGCCTCTGTGAAAGACCAAAATTTATATTGAGATGAGGTCCGATAGATATCGTCCTCGAACATCCTGCTTTTGATGGAGCTTGATCGTTAGGCCCCGCGGACGTCGTGCGATTGGAGAAGCTAGAGAAAGAATGATATAGCTGCGATAATAAGGTGGTATATTTTCTTTATACCAAAATTAATAGATTTCCGTCAGTGCATCAACAAGAGAGCAAGCTGTGTTAAAGAGGAAGAGTCGGAGACGATCAAGCTAGGCGGAGTTCAAGAAAGAATGGAGACCCACCGCTTATCGATATCATCTTGTTGCCGGCCAATTCTGGCTAAAAATAAGCCCAGCAGCGACATTCTACAACCATGAACTGTATTTGAAGAAGCTCCGTATCAAGTGTATAGTAAGAGACAGAAGATGGAAAAGGAGGCATAAAATAGACGGCCACAAGAGCCAGAAACAAGCAAAGAACAGTTTATCAAGACATGACATAAGGCAGTTGTTGTTCCCAACCATAAACAATCTCCACAGAAATAGCTTAGAATCTCTTGAAAACAGAGCGTTCGCCAGGCACCATGCATTCGATCAGTTTCATTCGCTATTGTTGCCCAAAAATAGCCCAAAGAGTCATCGCGCCGTCACTTACGGCTCACCCAGGAGCCGTGCGGTAATATCACCCATATAAGCTTCATCCAATTCATAGTCCTCTCCATTCATTCGATCAATGCCGTAAAATTTGAATGCCGCGACCACTCGATCCACATCGAAGCCCATGCTGCAGAATCGATCGATCAGGTCTTTGTTATATCCGTCGTACCTATTGACATGTATGAGATGCGATTCTCTAGAGGTAATGAAACATGGCACCGGCGTGGTTACGTACTTGGAAAGATCTTCCCTCTCTTGCTCCGCCTTAGACCTGAGTTCCTCCTGCCGGAGAGTTTCGTCTGTTGCTCCTCCACTACCCTCCCCAGCGTGTTTTCGGGGAGCCCCAGCGTGGATGACGGCCCATTCCCGAGCGACACGCTCGAACTCTTTCGGTCTTCGCAATAGCATGGTGGCTACCTCTGCATCCTGCGGATCTTTGGGCTCAGGGGTGCTAAGTAAGGATTGCAGAGACAAAAGTGCGGACTTGATGGTCAGCACCGGCGACCATGCCGATGACAGCGTATCGAGGCAGATAGCGCCCTAAACGAACATCAGAGGCCGTCTCCTGGCCAGACAAAGGCTCGACGCTGACGATACTCACCGTTTGGCTGCTCACATTAGGATGCCAGACTTTGGTCACGAACTTCATGACAGGCGGCCGAAATGGATAGTCGTTGGGTATCTTAATATCAACTTCATAAGTACCACCTTCGTACGGTGTACCCGGGGGCCCCGGAAACGTGCCACGCAGATGTGTTACATCGTCATCTTCCACCGGTTCGGCAGTAATTTGCGAATGAGTATCTGCCCGAATATCCGCAATCTCCTTTGCGATACGCCGCGTTCGATTAGAAGCCATAAGTGGAATGATCGACCGAGTCACAGACACGTAAGCGATGAACCAACGCTTAGGAGTAGATGATGTGGTTAAGTGAACCAAATTTGATGTCCGAAGGATAGTGTCCGGAGTCGCTAACTATGGAACAACTTGGTCCTTATCAGCAAGAGCGATCAGTTATCTTCTTTATCAATCCGAAGCGTGATGGTGAGCGGGGAGAAGGTGGGACGGGAAGAGCCAGAAAAAAGTAAACGTGCTTGTTGGTACTGTTAGATGAAGGCATATTGAGCCTCGCTATCTTTCGAGGACTGGGGCTCGAGGAGTGATTGATGAGGGGACGACGAGGCAGACGAGGAGTAGTTTGGATACTCACGGATAGCTCAACAGAGCAGATATATGAAAGCTGTTTTGCAGCAGGAGAATTTAAAAGCTGAAGCTCTAAAGCAGAAGATTTGAAAATGCAAAAGGGCTTTGACTATATTGTGCTGGTGTAAGGCAGAAAGCTACTACCTTAAGCTACCTGACTACAGAGTGTTCTAGATACCAGGCAGTCTACCTTAGAGGCTATATTTACTTGCCCGCAGCCGCCCTGGTGACGCTTGAATTCCACTATCATTCGCCAGTAAAAAGCATCAGGCCGCAAGGCTGTCAACCGTGGATCTTCTTACCCAGATTGGTAAGGTAGTACTCCGTAGTCCGTAGTCCGCTATGTAACGGAGATGCCTTAGGCGAAAAATCAGGCGATATGTCACGTGCTATGAATGCTGGTCGCCAAGACCGGACCAGATGGCGACAACAGCTTACCTGAGAGCTCTCCGTCCGTCTGTCCAGCGGAAGCTTCACTCACTCAATACGTTCACGCCTTCATCCACCCTCTAACATCAACCACCCCTTTCAACGACTCTGCTGGTATCAAGGTTGCTGTCGTCAGGAGACTAATTCTGGTACCGCTTTTTAACTCTTAACTGCACAGACTCTGGGAACATGGTATGTATACCAGAGCGCTTTCGTCATTAGTGCCTTTGTTGCCTTGGTGCCGTTCGAGCCAGCCTAACGTGTCTTGAAAACAGGGTAACCAGCAGTCAAACATCGGTGGAGGCCCTGGCGGGGATGGGAGAGATGACAAGGATAAGAAGGTGAGTCGATGTCTTCGACACGTTTTCTGAAGCCGCAAGTTCAGTAGCTGACAAAGCCTACGTCTGCAGAAGGAGAAGCCCAAGTACGAACCACCACCACCACCTACCACCAGGGTTGGGCGGAAGAAGCGCAAGGCTGCCGGCCCTAGCACTGCCTCAAAACTTCCCGACATTTTTCCTACGTCACGATGTAAATTACGATACCTTCGAATGCAACGAGTCCATGACCACCTGTTGCTCGAAGAGGAGTATGTGGAGAATATGGAGCGTCTGCGCAAGGCCAAAGCTCAGGCAACGCTGGACTCTGTGAGCCGAGGTGACCTGGATATCATGGACAGGAATGCGGACGAAAGGAGCCGCGTGGATGACATGAGAGGCAGCCCCATGGGAGTCGGTAACCTGGAGGAGCTGATTGACGATGACCATGCGATTGTCTCGAGTGCTACCGGCCCCGAGTACTACGTTTCTATCATGTCCTTTGTCGACAAGGATCTGCTGGAGCCTGGTGCCAGCATCCTTCTGCATCACAAGTCTGTATCTGTCGTCGGTGTGCTGACGGAAGAGTCCGATCCTCTGGTCTCAGTCATGAAACTCGACAAGGCACCAACCGAGTCGTACGCAGATATTGGTGGTCTCGAGTCGCAGATTCAAGAAGTCCGAGAGTCTGTCGAGTTGCCCTTGCTCCACCCGGAACTGTATGAGGAGATGGGTATCAAGCCGCCAAAGGGTGTCATTCTCTACGGTGCTCCTGGTACCGGTAAAACCTTGCTTGCCAAGGCTGTTGCAAACCAGACCAGCGCCACTTTCCTTCGAATTGTCGGAAGTGAGCTGATCCAGAAATACCTGGGAGATGGTCCTCGGTTGGTGCGACAGATTTTCCAGGTTGCTGCCGAGCATGCGCCCTCGATTGTCTTCATCGATGAAATTGATGCCATCGGTACCAAGCGTTACGACTCTACATCTGGCGGTGAACGAGAAATCCAGCGTACTATGTTGGAGCTTCTTAACCAACTGGATGGTTTCGACGACCGTGGTGATGTAAAGGTTATTATGGCCACAAACAAGATTGAGACTCTGGATCCTGCCTTGATCCGTCCGGGCCGTATTGACCGAAAGATTCTCTTCGAAAACCCAGACCGTGAGTGTCCTGCTAAGGAGCTTGCTGTGGTTCGTTGACTGACAATTCACAGAAAATACCAAGAAGAAGATCTTCACACTGCACACGTCCAAGATGTCTCTCGGAGATGACGTTGACCTCGATGAATTCATCAACCAGAAAGACGATCTCTCTGGTGCTGATATCCGAGCTATTTGCACAGAGGCCGGTCTGATGGCGCTGAGAGAGCGCCGTATGAGGGTGCAAATGGATGATTTCCGTGCCGCTAGGGAACGGATCATGAAGACTAAGCAGGATGGCGGTCCTGTGGAGGGCTTGTATTTGTAAGGCGGGAATATGGTCAATAGGTGCCTTATGGCTACGTAAATCGAGCAAGATGGCTTCTCTTTAAGAGCCCTTCCATGATGTATTCTACTAGTGAACCGAGCTACCAATCTCTATGGTGATGTTTACCTCTACCGCTTCGTAGTTGTGGAGACTTGATAAGACACTGTAGATGCAAACACCGCAAACATTGCAAAAGTGGCAAACGGAAGCAGTTGTAACATCATCAAGTCATTTTCCGATTAGCTTTGAATAAGCACTTTGCAAGATTTTTCGATCACAATGGACGGGTTCGACGAAGAAGCATTCAAAAAATTCTTCCCGAGTAGCTTCGGCAAGCAAGAAAAGCAGCTTGATGTGAATGCCCAGATCGACCGCACCAAGCGGTCGAAACTTTCAGCCGAACCAGATGGCAATAAAGAGGAAGATACTGACACCAAACCGGCAGTCGGAGACGCTGAAGCCGCAGATGAGACAAGAGGACACAATGGAAAAGCCGATTCAGAAGATGATTCCGACGACGATGATGACTCTGACGAGGAGGAGGACGAATTCCCAGTCTCTCACGAGCTTCTTATCAAGACACATGAGCGCGCAGTGACGACCATGACGGTGGATCCGGCAGGAGCGCGATTGATTACAGGCTCGACTGACTGCACACTCAAGCTCCATGACTTTGCCTCTATGACACCGTCTACTGTACGCGCATTCAAATCCGTCGATCCATCTGCTAAGAAGCAATCCGCCGCCCAAGAAACACACCCGGTGCACTATGTCGCATTCAATCCTCTGTCCCCAAGTCATGTCATGGTTGTTTCGGCAACGCCGCAACCTCGGATTCTGGACCGCGACGGCGATACCTTAACCGAATTTGTGAAGGGAGACATGTACCTAAGAGATCTTCATAACACCAAAGGCCATATAGCGGAAGTGACTAGTGGCGCTTGGTCTCCGACCGATTACAACTTGTGCGTCACCGCAGGAACGGACAGCACGGTTCGCATCTGGGACGCGAACGTCGGGCGATCGCAAAAGGAGGTCATTGTACACAAGTCTAGGGTGGCTGGATCCGCTGGTCGGAGCAAGATGACCGCTGTCGCATGGGGCTCTCCCAAACAGGGCGGCCCTAGTATTCTCGTCGCTGCTGCCCTCGACGGAAGCTTGCTGATGTGGGGAGGGAATGGACCGTTCACTCGGCCTAGTGGAGAGATCAGAGATGCGCATACTCGTGATACATGGACGAGTGGACTGGACATCAGCTCGGACGGAAGACTAGTCATCACCAAGGGAGGGGACGATACCATCAAGCTCTGGGACACTCGAAAATTTAAACAGCCAATCACCACCGTCTCGCATCCATCGATTTCAGCTCGTTATCCGTCTTCCAACATTATCTTCTCACCTACGTCGGCCAATGTCATTACAGGCTCAGAGACTGGTCATCTACACATCCTGAACCCAGCTACCCTGAAACCTGAGCTTGTCACGCCAGTCACGCCTGGGTCATCTCTCATCACTGTTCTCTGGCATGAAAAGCTCAATCAGATCATTACTGGTTCCGCCAACGCTGAGACACATGTTCTGTACAATCCCAATATGTCGACCAAGGGAGCTGCCTTGGTCATGTCCAGGGCGCCTAAACGTCGCCATATCGACGATGACCCGTCGCTTACCATGGACCTGTCTGCTGGTATCTCGGGCGACTCCGTTGTGGTCGGATCGAACGGAGTCCCTCACTACAGCTCGGCTACCTGGTCTGCCCGCCATCCTACCATCGGGCTCACGGCTTCGGGTCGTTCCAGAGACCCGCGACGACCACATCTGCCGGCAACTACTCCTTTTGCAAAATCGCAGCCGGATGAACGGCATATCCGCGAAAATATTCCTCTTAGTTCCATGCGAGACGAAGACCCTCGCGAGGCGCTGCTGAAGTATGCCGAGAAGGCCGAGAAAGACCCGATTTTCACCAAGGCATGGAAAGAAACACAGCCAGTACCGATATTCAGAGAGCTGAGCGATGACGAGGAAGAGCAAGAACCCGATAAGAAGAGGGCCAAGCGGTGAAAGGATCGCCCCAAAAGAATCTTTCTACGTTCCTGATTTCGTGGCACTTTCCACTCTCTTGCAGCTCGGGTAGGGGTCTTTTCGAACGCTAATGTATATATATGCAAGATGGACGGCGTTGCGGGGGAACATGATCTGTCTGTTTAGTGTAATCAGATCCAAAACTATCATCGATGGATTAGCATCAATAATTAGAGATACCCTCGTCCGTATGCATTTATCAGGATTTTATGCACATTAGACTCAAGTAGCAGCAGAGAGAATTGTCAGCCGGTGGGAAATTTGATGCTCGATGACGTTGGACAGGAGGGGTGGGGTGTCCACTGATGGCTTTCCAGGCTGTTGTGGAGGTCAGACCAATGATGATCCTCCAGGCGGAAAATGGCACTTCGATAGTCGCTTTCTCTCTCTACCTTACTCAAAAAGGCTATGAGCTCGCACCGACCTGTCTGCCTTAGCCTTGTCACTACTCACGATGCTGCGCTTGAGTGTGTTCTCATCCGCTGCCTTCTTAATTAGATCGTCCGAGCGATCGTTCGTATTCTCGCCATTCTAAATCCGCGCCCGGCCAATCCTCCGACCATCCCGGTTGTTCTACAGTTGCTCGTGAACGACAGCAAGACCACCCCTTTCTGTCCGTTGCTGGCCGACATCGTTCCTCTTTCATTGTTTCCAGAAGTCTTGTTTTGTCTTGGGAAGTGCAGATATAAAGCTTTGGAGCTTAGTAGAGTCACGGAACAGAATGCGCCATTTTTTACCAGCATGAGTGATTGTTTACTGCTGAAATCGAGCATCGTTTCATCAGATCGGTTTCTTTCAGCGTCTGGACTGCACCCATCGAGTTCTCATCCTCAGTCTTCAATCCTCCGTTTTCCGCATCATATTGAGTATTTTGGCCCGGGTGATAACGATCGATTCGTCTCAACGTGTGTCAGCGGAGCTCTCGAAGCTCCTCAACCCGTTCTTTGCCCCCTACCTGGTCGCTTCTTTCTTACATCTGAATGGCTTCCTTTCAAGAGGAGCCCTTAGCCGCAGGCCTGCTTACGGTTCTTGTCACTTCTTTCGCCCCTACTCCGACCGCCACCGCATCCGCCTCTTCATCGTTTCAACATTTACCTTCGTCGACATCGGGCTCTGATCCGAATACCGGCGGCCACAATGGAGGGCATATACATGAATGGTCGTCTCTGATTGGTATTGTGACTGCATTGGTGGGAAACGTGCTCATATCTCTGGCGCTCAATATTCAACGTTACGCTCACATCCGGATCGAGAGGGAGTGGGAGCAGAGCAAGCTACAAAGGGAGATACAGTGGAAACGGGCCAACTCGGGCCGGAATGCAGCAGGTGTCTACGGAGCTACCGTAGACGAAGAGGATGGCAGAGAACCTAGACGAGAGGGACGTCCGTTTCCTCGTTATCGAGACGAGTCTCCGGATTCCGGGCCAGAATTGCCCGAGGACTTTCTAAGATGGAGCGACGAGTTCTCGGATGGAGAATCAGGCCCGCGCGGTCGCCTACGCGAGTCCTTTCTATCGGACCAAACTATTCGTGCCGGGGATAAGGATTCTCGCCATGGCCGGCGCAAATCATACCTCCGCTCGCCGTACTGGTGGGCGGGCATCGTGCTCATGTGTCTCGGCGAGATCGGTAACTTCATGGCGTACGGGTTTGCTCCTGCATCGATTGTGTCCCCGCTAGGCGTCGTCGCGTTGATCTCAAACTGCGTTATTGCCCCAATAATGCTCAAGGAGAAGTTTCGCCAACGCGATGCCTGGGGGGTGCTCATTGCAATCGCCGGTGCTGTTGTGGTCGTGCTCAGTGCCAGTTCGTCGGAAGAGAAAATCGGTCCCCATGATATATGGGTCATGATCACGCGCTGGGAATTCGAGCTGTACTTGGGTCTGACAGCCTGCTTGATAATCGCCCTCATGTGGGTGAGCCACAAGTATGGCTCTCGAACCATCCTGATAGATGTCGGGCTAGTCGCGCTGTTTGGTAAGTCTCTGTCATTATTGATGCGGTTGTTTTGATCGTGTGAACCAAGTACTCATTCAGATGTCAAGGTGGATATACCGCATTGTCGACAAAAGGTGTCTCGTCACTGCTGTCATTTACGCTTTGGCATGCTATTACCTTTCCAGTCACCTATTTACTGGTGTTTGTCCTTGTTTTCAGCGCTCTGATGCAGATTCGGTACATCAACCGGGCTTTGCAACGTTTTGATTCCACCCAAGTCATCCCAACGCAGTTCGTACTCTTCACATTGTCGGTTATCGTTGGAAGTGCTGTGTTATACCGCGACTTTGAGAACTACACCGCCGAGCGCGCCTCAAAGTTTGTCTCTGGCTGCCTTATGACATTCCTAGGCGTGTACTTTATCACGAGTGGCAGAGCCCGTGCAGATGACGAGTCTTCTTTCTCCATTGATGACGAGGAAGAAGCGATTGGGCTTCTGGGAGGAGAGCAGTATCAGGACAATGTTGACATTGCCCCTCCTGCGCATCAAGCTAGGACAGCCAAACTCGGGCAGAGGCAATCAATACCTGATGAGAACGATCTACAGTCCCCGTCGGGATCTTTACTGGGCAATGGAATTGAGGACGTTGATGAGGACCAACTCACTCCCAAGGGTGCTCTGTCCGCTGCTCCTTCATCTCCTGTCGGCTCCTTGACCGCGGAATCTCCTACACAGCCGTCTCCCGGGCATCCGTCTTCTTTGCACTCGCACTCTCACTCACTGTTGACGAACCCATGGGCGGACCACTTGGAACAACACGTTCAGGCTTCCAAATCCGAACCGCAGCTTCACCGACCAGCCACTCCTCCGAAACAGTCCGAAACTGCCAACACTGATTCAGCAGTCCTCTTGCAGTTTCCTCCTGCCCCTGGTATTGAAGATCACGGCTACCGACCCTCGTCTCCATCCAAGCCCGACCACGTCGAACCGGCTGGCCGAGCAAGTACCGTCCCCCAGACTCCTCCCGCAAGGAACCTACGCAATTCTATATCCAAGCATTTCTCTCCCGGCCCACTTCTCCCTACCCTTTCGGCAGGTTTCAGTGCGGTCGTTGCCGAATCACTTCGCCGTGGTGAAACCAGTCCCGTGAAAGACCGAAAGTCGCATAAGCGATCCGCTCGAAGAAAGCAGCTAAGCACAATAGCCTTTGACGGCTACATGCGCAACAGGGACAGAGGCCCTTCAGATGAGGTGGATGCGGGTGTGGACCAGCATCTTCCATTCCAACTTGCGACTGCTCGACTCCATTCTACTGGGGATCTCCCGACGGCTCCTGGGCTCGTTGGTAACTCCACCCCGGCAGTAGACTCTGAAGATCAGTCCATCAATCAAAGTGGAAACGGTATCACCACGCTCACCCGACTTCGCAGCCTTAGTGATTCATGGAGTGGAGGTTTAGCATGGCTTGGTGGCGCTCTACGAAAGCCTAACAGCAGCAACAAGGCGTTGGACAATACGACAGCAGTCGAAGCAGACGAGAATGACAGTAGCACCGAGACTCATGATGGAGGGGGTGGTCGCGAAAGTGGCGCAGATACGCGGACGTAGGCCTGGACGGAGCAGTTTCTTCTCTGCGGCGGCAGGCTCATTCCAGTCGTCGGTACATATTTGTTGTTATTGTTGTAATAATGGGTGGTTGGCCGGTTTGATTCTGAGTCTATATATCCATGATATACGGTTCCTATCTTATAATAGTAGTTTCACACTTGGACATGACATTGCCGGGGTTGGCTCCATTATATACATAACCATTGAGCCATTGCAATGCGAGTCCTGGTGATAATTGAGGTCTAATGGATATCTTTTCAACAATTCAGGGGGATCTTTCCCAGCCAGAGCAGTTCCACTTCCATTCTCCTCTCCCCTGGCTCCCATGCTTCCAGTCCCAAAATCCTTTACGAGGTAAAGCAATCCTTGACCTCGGCCGCTATCATGGCAATTGCGGAAAATGATCAGCTAACGGGTGCAGGATTTCTCTTGTGGTTTCTGCGTTGACTTGCATCCGATGATTCCATAGGTGGAAAATACATCTTGCAGCACCCTAACTCCCTTAGATCCCAGCATGGATCATTTATTCCTCACCAGTCTCGACGCTCGCTTTGATTGAATCCTGCCAAAACCACATTCAAGTCAGCCACTAGGCATTCATCCTGCTAAACTCTTCCTTGAATTTAGCCGTCCGAATGCTTCTCCGCATCTTCTCATCGCTACAATTCCGGGGATATCGGCCCAACTCCATCCCTAGTTCCTTAGCATTTGCGATTGGCATTGCTGTTGAAGGCTCCAAGCCAATTTCATGGAGTGTGGATCTTTGCTCCGTACCACGCTGATGTATTCATTCGCCAGTATATGACTTTCTCATCTCCCCTAAGGCCCTAATGGTGTTTTCGAGCCGGACTCATCTCCGCACTAGACCTAACCTCCAACCTAAAGCACGATAGCTTGAACGCTTGCCTCTTCTGTGTCAAACAATGCACTCGGTCTATTAGATTGCGATGGCAGCATTGAAGGCAATTTATTACGATGGCCTCTTATTTTTACCTTTTTCCTGCTCCGAGCATGGCCTAGCCACATGCCGAGACACAAGAGTAATTACTGGATAATGGCGTGTACTGCGGAGACTGCAGAGCGCAGTCTGCAGCAGCGTGGTAAATAATAGATAAATCGCCGTGCCTCCCTCGTGGATCAATTGTCTTTTTCTTTTTCTGGTTGCGTCTCTGTCCCCTGCATGGCTCGCTGAGGAGAGATTTCGCAATTATTGTTTCTACAGGGACAGTTTGAATCTGTCCATCTTCGCACCAGGATGGTTGGAACTTTTCTCTCCAAGAGCTTGCTGCTCTTGCAGCTTGTGTCGGCTTTGTCTACGGGACAAGCTGCTTCGATGCCGCTGTACAAAGATCCCAGTGCGCCTGTGGAAGACCGAGTGAGCGATCTTCTAGGCAGGATGACGATCGATGATAAGATGGCCCAATTGATGCAGGGTTCGTTGATTCAATCCCCTTTGCTTTTAATAACCACATTCATTGACAAAGCTGATTGAGTTGGTTGCAGGTGATATTACCAATTGGATGAATTCTACCAGCGGAGCATTCAACTACACCGGTCTCGTCGAGAATATGAAGATGAAGGCGGGATCGTTCTATGGTAGACAAACCGGACCCTGACTTCAAGCGAATGATAGCATTGACGATACTTCCAGTTGGCTATCCCGTTTCTTGGGATTGGATTGCTACCAATGTCAAGAGAGCCCAAGATTATCTTATGCAGAACACGACACTTGGAATTCCGGCGCTTGTCCAGACTGAGGGTATGGCTGATGATATGTGTGACTCGTGTCAAATGCTGATGGCATTCGATCGTCTATAGGTATTCATGGTTTCTTGACTGGCAACGCGACAATCTTCAATTCGCCTATTGCGTATGGCTGCTCCTTCAACAGAGAGGTACGTATTCTGCATCTTGTTGCTTGGGGCAAATCTAACAGAGAATTACAGCTGGTGCAAGAGATGGCCAAATACGTGGCCCAGGAAGCTCGTACACTTGGTGTCACCCAGATCTTTGCTCCTGTCGTGGACCTGGCTCGCGAGCTGCGGTTTGGTCGGGTAGGCCATGCGTTCAGTCTTCCTATCATGCAGGGCACTTACATAACCGCTCCTAGGTTGAAGAAACGTTCGGCGAAGATCCATACCTTTCGGGAGAGATGGGATATAGCTACGTCAAGGGCCTCCAGAGCCTCAACGTCTCCTCGATGGTCAAGCACTTTATAGGATTCAGCCAGCCTGAACAGGGTATCAACACTGCTCCTGTTCACGGAGGCGAGAGATATCTGCGCACAACGTAAGTGGCCAAGGATCAAGACGCGAATTGATACTGATCTAGACAGTTGGTTCCCGTCGTTCAAGCGAGCGATCATTGACGCTGGCGCATGGAGTATCATGAGTGCTTATCACTCGTAAGTGTGTTTTGACAGTGACCGCAAGAAGCTGCTGACAACTTGCTTAGGTATGACGGCATCCCTGCTGTTTCGGACTACCATACTCTGACCGAGATCCTGAGAGGCGAATGGGGCTACGATTTCTTTGTCATGAGTGATGCCGGCGGCACAGATAGATTGTGCTCGGCCTTCAAGCTCTGCAGAAGCAACCCTATTGACATGGAAGCCGTCACTCTCCAGGTTCTTCCTGCCGGTAACGACGTCGAGATGGGTGGTGGTTCTTTGTAAGTTTCTACCTGGGATCTGATTGTTCCTTGCTGACATATGCAAAGCAATTTCCGGAAGATCCCTGAACTGATCAAGGCCGGCAAGCTTGATATCAAGACTGTCGACACCGCCGTCTCAAGAGTGCTGAGAGCGAAGTTCGAGATGGGCCTCTTTGAAAACCCCTATCCCGCTGCCCCCAAGTCCCAATGGAACAAGCTCATCCACAGCAAGGAAGCCGTCAAGCTTGCTAGACAGTTGGACAAGGAGTCCATTGTTTTGCTGGAAAACCATAACAACACCCTTCCTCTGAAGAAGAAGGGTGACATTGCCGTTATCGGACCCATGGCCCATGGATTTATGAATGTAAGTGCCTCTGCAAGGCTCATGACATGTATAATGTTGCTCATAATGATTAGTACGGAGATTATGTGGTCTACAAGAGCCAGTACCGGGGCGTCACTCCCCTGGACGGCATCAAGGCTGCGGTTGGTAAGAAGGCAAACATCCACTACGCCAAGGGATGCGAGCGATGGAGCAACGACCAGTCCGGCTTCGCCGAGGCCGTCGAGGCAGCGAAGAAATCCGACGTGGCCATTGTCGTCGTTGGCACCTGGTCAAGAGACCAGATGGAGCTGTGGCAAGGGCTCAATGCAACGTGAGTCACTCCCTGCAAACAAATACCCTACATCGCGAACTAAACCCTACGCAGGACCGGCGAACACGTCGACGTAAACGACCTCTCCCTCGTCGGCGCCCAAGCCCCCCTGATCAAAGCCATCGTCGACACCGGCGTCCCCACCATCGTCGTCCTCAGCAGCGGCAAGCCCGTAACGGAGACCTGGCTCTCCAACTCCACCGCTGCGCTCGTCCAGCAATTCTACCCCTCCGAGGAAGGCGGCAACGCCCTCGCCGACGTCCTCTTCGGCGACTACAACCCTTCCGGCAAGCTCTCCGTCAGCTTCCCCTCCTACGTCGGCGACCTCCCCATCTACTACGACTACCTCAACTCCGCCCGCTCCATCGGCGACTCCGGCTACGAGCTGCCAAACGGCACCCTCGTCTTCGGCCACCAGTATGTCTTCGGCAGTCCGCTCCCCTGGTACCCCTTCGGCTACGGCAAGAGCTACTCCACCTTCGAGTATGGGCCTGTCACCGTCGACAAGGCGAACGTCACTGCCTCGGATACCGTCACCGTTAGCGTTGACGTGACGAACACCCACAAAAGCATGGATGGGACGGAGGTTGTGCAGGTGTACATCCAGGATGAGATTTCGTCGGTTGTGGTGCCGAATCGCCAGCTCAAGGGGTTCGAGAAGGTGGTCATCCCCGCGAAGAAGACCAAGACTGTCAAGATCAAGATCAAGGTGCAGGATCTGGGGCTGTGGAACTCGGCGATGAAGTATGTCGTTGAGCCCGGGGCGTTCACTGCGTTGGTGGGGAGCAGCTCCGCGGATATTAGGGGCAATGCTACCTTTTACGTGCAGTAGAGTGGATGCTGTTGGCTCTTTTATCCAGGTGGACGAGGGTTGTGCGTTTTGGGGAAGGTGTATATAGCTTATTTATGAATAACTTGTGCACATGTCCAGAGGTGTGACAGGCATTTGTAGATTGGCGTATGCCTGACAAGTTGTAGTATCTGTGGACTTATCCATGGAGTCTGTGCCTCGGCATAGAAATATGTAACGTGACAATTCTTCGTCTTCAATTGATACTTTCCCATATTGTGTTCAATTGCTGAAGCTTTACTGTAACACATTTTGAAGAATCTGGGGAGGATGTCGCCTTGAGTTGCTATGTCTAGCACAACCCAACCGACATGGTGTGGCCACCCGCCAGCTAGCTATCAGAGGCATCCCCTTTCGCCTCCGGCCCTGTACTTTCATTCTCCGTGTCGCCATCCGATTTTGACTTGGCGCTCTCAGCCTGCTCCTGGGTATTGGAATCCGCACTGGGAGTAGTTCCGGGCTTGTCACCGCTCTTGACCGTATCCGCTGTAGAAGAACCCGCAGCAACCCTACCCTCCGCCCGTCTAGTCTTCGCTCCTTCCTTCAATTTCTCCCATCGTTCTCGGTAGCGGCCCAAGACGTCCCGTAGTTTCTCGTTCTCGCGGCGGACGCGCTCCAGCTCTTTCTCGTTGCGGCGCATGCGCTCTTCCAGTTCCTTGATACGCTGGTCTGAGTCCATTGCAGCGGAGGGAGACACAGCGGCGGAGGAGCCCTGAGCACCGTAAGGGTGGTCGGGCCACGGGCCGTTGTGGTGGTGCATTGCTTTTAGGGACTGCTGCAGAGCCATGGAAGACGATTGCGCGTTGACTTCCCACATGTGCAGCCGCTTGGAAAGGGTATCG